CCTGAATTCTGGGGGCAGCTCTGTTAAGCTGCCGACCGGCGACAGGCCACTCCCCGGAAGCCAACGTACTGGTCATTTTTATATGCAATCCACCTTCATTCAGCATCCATTTATTTTTGAGCATTTTTTCTTATTTTACCCATGCATATATCTTAAGTATCCCATTCACATTCCATTCATTTTTTTATATATATTTCTCTTGATATATCCAATTTTCACAAACTGGCCAGAAGCATTTTTTGACATGGTATGTTTACTTTTTTTTAACTAACATTTATTCATCCCTTTCAATAGTCATGCCATCCACTATCCTTCTGTTAGCATTTATATATCCTAAACATTCTCCATCCATTTCTCCATCTTTGATAAACATTCTACCATACATTCACCTGTTTCCTCTAGTTTTTGATCATTTATATATAACTTAAAACTATTCATTTTATTTCTCCTATCAAAAACAATACCTTGGTTTTGTTAACACCAATTATAAATATTCATTATATTAACACCCATTACAAATAATTTGGTTTCACTGTCAATAGCACATCAACTACACATAAAACTTCATTCATGTCCCCTTAACATCCCTCTACCTCTTCATCTACCATAAATATATCTTACACTTTTATCCATAAATGCATAAAAACACCAAGAGGGATACTACATACTGTATCCTTTTTTACTCTATCCATAATGCCAAAACATTTGCTAAGCATTTCACTTTTTCTCACACAAGCTTTACTTCAATCATATGTCATCTTCATAAGATTGGCTGAGCATAAACCATGATTTGGGGAAAAATGATGTAATTTACACAAGTTGCTAAACAAAAAACTGAAGCCAAATACAGTAAGACACATTTTGGCTCACCACCCTATGACAATAAGGACAGTATCAGTTAACATAGCAGCACATAAGGACATAGAAAAATTCCATACTCAAATTAGATTCTTTTTAATTTAGCCAACTTATTTCATTGAGTCTTACACAAAGTTCCCTAGTTTTTCTCCCTTTTGTTAAAGCACTGGAATGTTTTGACTGCATATTCTGCCTCTGGCTCTTTTTATTTTCATCTGTTTTTTCCAAATCCTGACTACATCAACCTTTTGATCCTTAATTGCCAGAATATGCATAGTTTGTTCCAGAAAAATGGGTCTAGGATCTGGCAAAAAATTTTTTTCATCTATGCACAGAAGAGAATAGAAGAATACATTTAAAAGTGTGATTATTTTGTAATCCCTTTATAATAATCTGACAGGAAGAGCCTTACTGAGAATTAATCACATGAGCCTTAAAATATAGCACATTAGGAGAGTTCCCATTCTGTTCAAGTTTGTCACCTGTCTATGAGGACTATTTTATCCATTCAAGAAGCAATTACTGCTTTCCAAACTTTGACAAGGAATTCTCTGAACAATGACAATTCCAGCACACTTTGATTTATTTCCTGAAGAGAATACATTTTGGAATAAATAGCAAACATTGCATCTTAATGGATATTTCTAATTAAAGAGAAAGTATTGATCTTGTTGGTGAACACATGTTAAAAGCAAAATACATATAATTGGTTTCTCTCCTGACTTCTGGGAAATTTGAGTTTGGATATAGCCAAGCAAATAATTAGGCAATAGTTTAAAGACAGTGTTACAAAATGAACATATCACAAAGATACCAAAATATTAAGAGAAATAAAGACTAATACCTGTAATATATTTATATTGTCTTAGAATAGAAAAGGGATATGAGAAGACAAAATATTATATTGCCAGTACATTAAAAAGTAGCAACAAAACAGATAATAACAAACCTCGCAACAGCTAACAGCAGGCAAGAGACAGAGGTGCTAACTCTTGCTGCACAAGACCAAACATTAAAAATAAATGCATACAAAGCCACAATTGGGAAGAAAGCAACAACAGCAAATGCCGCCTCTGCAAATAAGTTGAAGAAACAGAAGAGTACTTGGTTAGCGGCTGCAAGAAGATCAGACTGACTACAAACGATGGCATTACAAAGTAGCATCAATTGCAAGATGCCACTTGCCTGAAAGCAAGAACTGATGGGACCACAATGAAGCAAGCCAACGTGCTCTTGGAATTTAGAATTCAAATAAACATATGCCATGCCACAGTCCAGACTTGATAAGACAGACCAAAAAAAATCTGGATAGTGGACATGACAGTACCTGGAGACAACAGAAGAGAAGAGAAAGAACTGGAGAAGATAACAAAATAGAAACACCTGCAAATAGAAATAGAACGACTGTGACAAAAGGAAGCAAATGTAATACTAATAGTTGTAGGCGTCTTGGGTATAATCCCAATATAACTGGAGTACCACTTGAACACCTTTGGCATTGATAATTCACCTTCAGTCAATTGCAAAAGGCAGCTTTACTCAGGACAGCTTGATAATTTTAACACTATAAAATGTCAACATCTGCCTATGCTATGCTAGGTTCTTGGGAAGGACTCGATAGGTGGATAAAAATGCTAAATCCAGTCTGAATAACAAGTTGACTGTGCAACGAACCATAATAATAATCTTTCCTTCTTGGGTTGCGTGGTTGCCAGTTATTCTACTTCTCACAGTTTTCTTCATCATACTGATATCAGGCCACAGATGTTTGCAAAACACTAAGAGAAAGACAAGCTGTGCAACCAATGGACTATAAATGATGAAGTCTTTGTTGAGAACAGAATGCCTTGCAGAGCGGGTGCATTGTCTAACAAACAAAGCTTGCGTTAATACTGCTGAAAGCTGTTCATCCATCAAGAAATCAGTGGACATAAACACCCACCATAAGTACTGCAGTTACAAATGGGAAAAAAGTGCTTTATCCATCTACTTGGAAGGTCAGATACTGTCAATGGCTGCATTAATGCTTATTTATCTGAATAAACATAACAAGAAATTAGTTTAGTGTTTAAATTTGAAATTAGTACACACAATTTAGTTTTGCATTTTTTTTTTACTTCAGGAAGACACTGCAAATCTTACTTTTCAAATATTTTGTATGTAGCTAATGAACATTAGGTGACCTATTTTCATTTGTATAATAGCTTTGTAATATTAAAAAGATAATTTTTATGGGTTGTTTTATGTTGTTATTTAATTATTCTAAGTCTTCTGCATAGGTGATATAAAATTGATTTTAATAAAATTAAAACTTACCAAACTAGTAGTTTTATGATATGACATGCCACTGAAATAATATATAAAGTCATATTTTTTTAAAATAAATAAATAAAACAAAACTGCAGTAATGAACATAGGTATTTCTTCACAATCAGAATGTGAAGAGAGTAAATGTTTTTGTCAATTAATCCTAAAATCATGCAGACTGAAAACTCTCACTTCCCCCCCTTTTTTTTTAAAAAAAAAAGGAAAATGTGATTTACCCCGGCAAGGTGACAGGATATCTTTAGGATCAATTGACTTGAAAAGTTTCTGAAAAAAGTTTTCATTTGAGAATACTATATATTCTCAAACAGTAGCCAGAATAATTATAAAAATTATATCATTTATAATATGTAATTTATAATTTGTATTATATATTATAAATTATATTTTATAATTGAGGCATAATTTGCATAGTATCTGTTGATCTTATTTAAATATATTGATACAAATGACATGTTTTATATCATTTGTTTAACCGACATTATACATAGTACAAATTACCAAAAATAAGGCAATTTTAATGAGAGGCTGTGTTTTTAGATACCTTGATACCGACTGCTTGGATGCAACATGCCCAATATTTAGAGTGGTTATTGGACATATATTGTACTCATTGGATTCAATGACTGACAAATAGGGCTCCGTTAGACATGTCTAATAAACAGTTAGATTATACAGACGTTTTGATAGCTGGAACTAAACAAGATTAAGAATAGCTCATTATGAAAGTAAAATAGAAAGTGAAAAGTATAAGTTAAATATATACTACATATGCTAGTCTCCGTTGAGGTAAGCAACTTGATGCAAATCATAGAACAGGTATAAGAAATAACATGCAAAAGAAAATGAGAGAGAAAAAAAGGACAGCTAGGTTTAATTTACTCCAACACTACTTATTACTGCCTATCCCACATCTTTTTACATCTACATTCTGGGTTCCACAACATCCACATATTAATAGATATTGTGCAATTCGTTTTTATTTTCTCAGCTCTTTCCTTTTGAAGATCTAGACCTACTCTCTATCTCTTTCTGTTCTCCGTTAGACAAAGAGTTTACATTCTTCCTCCTCTCTTGCTTTTATCTCCTCAATCAAAGGCGTCTTTCCCTCCCTTTTTTCCCATTGGATGGTCTCCTGTCCAATCAAAATTTCACAATTCGATATCCCTGTCAAATTCAGCTCCTTCGCTTCGCCTCACCTTTTGTTCTGCGTGGCAGAACTGAGTAAAATTCGCGCTCGTTCTGCCCGAATAGTAATAATTAAAACAAGGCAGCGCCCTCCGTTCTTCACGCGTCCAATGTGGTGGTGGCTGAAGGCGTGGGGTCGGCTGCCAGAAACGGCGTTTGGGCGGGATTATTCGTGGCAGCCCAGAGCAGGGCTCCCGCGTTCGACGGGGCTTCAGAAATACCAGGCCTCGTTTCCATGGGAACAGGATCCCTCCGTAAGGAAACCGCTTGTGCCCTGCCGTTGGAATCACGCAAAGGAGGCTGAGGGAGAACTTGGCTTCCTAGGCATAGTCGAAAGCTACTTCGACCGGGCGGCACGTGTGGTTGAAAATGAGCTCGTAAAGCGGCTTCGCACTCCCAAGGACGAGAATGAGCGAGTGCTGCGGGTTCGCGGGGTCCTGGACGCAATCCGGAGCTGCGGCCACGTCCTGGAGGTGGCCTTCCCCGTTCGTAAAGACAGTGGCTGTTGGGAGTTGATCAAGGGCTGCCGTGCCCAACACAGCCAGCACCATATGCCATGCAAAGGAGGTGAGCCTGAAGAGGCCTCCTCTCCTGTACTGTAAATTTAAGCGAACAATAAAAACCGTTAATTTGTCCTTTCACAGCAAGTGTAGATATTCAAAAGCAATAACTGATGTTGAAGATATTAACACTTATTGGGTAAACATGCATAGGATTGCAGTTATTGGTTGTGCTGATTGGACTTCGATCTGATTGACTGAACTGTGGTTTCAATATTGGTCTATCTATGGTATTCTACACCACACAATCATTATGGGTTGGCAACAGTAAATTTAAAATAATGGACTAGTTTATGGTTCATTCTTGTGCAAATCTATGCATAGAATTAGATGCATTAAAAGTTAAGTTGTCAGCTTGAGCAGATGAAAGACTTCAGATAACAAATCCCAAAATAAATTGGTGTTTAATATATTAATTGATCACATCTTTAGAATTTGTTAAAATAAACATAGCCATCTGGCTATCCAAACAAAAGTGGGACTGCAAAAACAGATTGCTTAACACCTGACAATCTACTGCATGACTAGTGAACCTGCGTTCTAAGAAAAGAAGGTTTATAAACATGTTGGAAATAGTTGCAAGATGATACAAAAGTAGATATCTGGCTATTTTAAGATCTGTCTACTTGTAGTTACCAATCCCTGCTGTTTAAGGAAGCTTAGTGTTCAGAGTTAAACAGTATACAACACATGTGGTAAACTGCCTGCTTTCTAGCAACCTGCAGTTGGTAGATGGTAGGTTGTAAAAATCCAGAGTAACTCCAAGTAAGATTTTATCTATCATTTGGTAAGCAGCAAAGAAATGGTTGAATTACTCTTTACTATTAGTGGTCCAGAGTTTTTCAGCTGAGATCTGGTAGGTCTAAATACAAACAATGGATTTTCTGTGGTATTAAAAATAGAACTTTGAAAAATGGTGTGCACTTTGCTGCTTTCCATTCATTAATGCTGCCATCTAGCTTAATAAAATGGTACTGCTACCTGCTCAATTGATTTTTTTCTTCTTTTTTTGACTATTAATATTATCTAGAGGGGTTTTAAAAACATATTAGAAATATATATTTTGAATATGGTCCTAAAATTATGAATTGTTTTAGAAACACTGACAGTTTTTTTCAAATATAAACATTTGGAAGTCATGGAAAACGCTTAGGTATTTAGAGGAAGTTGAAAAATATATATAACTCTTTCCTACTGATCTTAATCTGGAGCAATGACAATTAGACTCAATCATAGTTTGGCTTGTAAAGTGTTTACCATGATGTGAGTATACTTTTCACAGTTGACTAAGAGAGTTTTCTATAGATACATATCAAAGTGTAATTCAAGCTGAGTTCATCTTCCCTCTTTTCCACAATTATCTACCAATATGTAACTTTTCCTCTCATTAACAAAATATGGAAATTAAGAAAACAAAATGCATCATACTAACACAACTCTAAACAGGGAACTTTGTATGATTGAGGCTGGCACAAATAAAGGATCCATGTAAAAACCTCATCAAAGAGTCTTTGATACAAAGTCTGTAGCATTTTCAAACATTTATTACTAGAGCTCACAAAAATAATAAAGTGTGTTTGCAATGGATATAGATGTTCAATATACATTGATATATATTTGTTTTTTTCTTTCTCCAGGATTTCGATATAGCAAATCAGTTAATTCTGATGAAGTAAAAGCTTTGGCAGCTTTGATGACATATAAGTGTGCAGTAGTAGGTAAGTTAGCACTGTATGAGTAAATATTAAGGATAGGAAGAGCAGACTTGGAAGTCAGTATGTTCAAAATTCACTACATTTGAGACAGATATTTAACACTTGCAGTGGGGACCTTCACAAAGATTTGTGGTCGAATAGAAACAATTGCATTCCCATATGCTAATGCTAGCTAAATATTTTGGAGAATCTGTTTTGTCCTCCTACAATAAAAATGTTATCAAGTTAATAGCATTGAACATATTTTGTTATTCTTTTTGTCAATATACATTAATGTATTGTTACTATAAAGGTGGTCCTCAAATTACAACACTTCATTTAGTGACATTTAAAGTTACAACGGCACTGAAAAAGTGACTGACAACAGTTTTTCACACTTCACGACCATTACAGATCCCTAGTGTCACATGATCAAAATTCAGATGTTTGGCAACTGATTTGTATTTAGGACGATTGCAGTGTCTCAGGTTCCTGTGATAATCTTTTCTAACTTTCTGACAAGCAAAGTCAATGGGGAAGCCAGATTCCTTTAACTTAACTACTGCAGTGATTTACTTAACAATTCTTGCAAGAAAAGTGGGGGAAATTCACTTAACAACTATCTCACCTAGCAACAGAAATTTTGGGTTCAGTTGTGGTTGTAAATTGAGGACTATCTATATTTACAATATGCCAACTAGGGAGCAACATTTAACTGACTATGGATCTCAGAATACTTAAGTAGAGTCAAATCTGTTTAGTATTTGGGTGAGAAACTACGAAAAAGTTCCAGAGCTGCAGTTTATATTATTATAAACTACTATCCTAGAAGAAAGTAAAAGGCTTCAAAATACATTTTTATCAGTATTTTATGTGAATATAATGTTTGCTTGACTTCAGAGAAAATTAAATTACTCCTCAAGTTAAGTATTTATGTAAAAAAGTTTGTTGAATAGGTCAAATGTTCAGATATTTATTATGAATGTATTCAACATGTTTAAATGTTTTACTTGCTTTTTTCTAAGAAAAGAAAAACTTTTGAATTATAAGGCAATACTCTCGCAACAGTTCTTAAAAGTTGTATTCGTATTAGATTTTTGTGGCTGGATAAGGAATGAAAATATAAGATGCTAATTTGTTGGTAATGGTGTATTTCAGATGTTCCTTTTGGCGGGTCAAAGGCTGGTGTGGCTATTGAGCCAAAGAATTATTCAGTAAGTATAGGTTCTTCCTCTACTTACAAGGCATACTGACTTGCACTTTAAAAAAAATTCAAATAACTTTATTAAGAATAACAACTTATACAAACTACAAAGACATAGAGTAAGAAAAAGGCAATAAAGAAAAATGTAAAAAAGGAAAAAAGGAGAAAAAGAAGCAAGTCACCTCTTCATCCCTGCAAATAAAAACAATTTCAATAGTTTATCGCCAACTCTTTAACACAAGATATTCTATCTTCACCCCATGACTTATTTCTTAACTAGAAAACAAAATTCAAAAGCCTTGTTATTCATTCTTTGTCAGCAAAAGTCCAGAAAGAGAAACCAGTTGTATCTAATTTTCTATTTCAGCCTTAATCAAATAAAGCTTAATTGAGTTTTGTGTCCTTAAAAGTCTGCTTCATGAGTATGAGCTTGATGGTATCCCTCAATTCCCAGAACTCAATTGAAAAGTGATTTGCAAAACAACAGTTCTTGCAGTCTGCTCAAAAAGAGCAGCTGTCGGGGGCTATGTGGGTTATCTCAATGATCTCTCAGCTTCTGAGAATTTTTGCCAGTCCAGCCACAAATTTCCTTGTAAATGCAGACCTGCTACCAGCAGGATATGAATTTGCCATGCCCTCGTCCCAAAGTCTCATGACATACTCTAATTTTGAGAATGAATTAGTGTGTTATAGAATTTGAATCAATGTCATATCAGACAATGCATAGTGAATCACTGTAAAAATGAAAGGAGAAGACCAAATCTTAATTATTCGGTATAAAATAAGAAAACTTGAATCCTTTAGAACCTTATTTATCAACACCAAAGGTGATGCTGGATAGCAAACAGGAATTATTATGAACAATAAATAAAGACAAAAATATGTACACTATAAAAACCCTTATTAATAAATTATTATTAACAAAATAATAATAAAGCAAAAATGTTCACCTCTACAATGGAGTCATGTGAGCTGGACCTTGAAGCCTCAGTCCTGACAATATGCCTACGTAGTCTGCCAGATCTAGTGGGGTGGGCTGATGTAACCGTGAAGAAATGGTCCCTTAGATAATCCAGTCCCAAGTCATGAAATAAAGTATAAAACCAGTACCTTGAATTGGACCCAGAAGCAAACTGGCAACCAATGCAGCTCGCAGACAGAGTTGTAACACATGCTGGTCTAGAAGTGCACATTACTGCCCATGGCATGGCATTTTGTACCACTGAAGCTTATGGATACGCTTCAAGGGCAGCCATATATGAAATGCATTGAAGTAGTCTGGAGGTGACCAGGGCATGAATGATGTAAATAGGATTTACCAATCCAGGAATGGCTACAACTAGCACATCAGATGAAGCTGTGCAACGGCCCTCCTATCCCTAACTGCCACCTGCTCCTTGAGCCGGAGTTGTTAGCCTAGGATGATGATTGTTTGGGGGAGGGTAGTGCAATCCCATCCAGCCCCAAAGATGATGAAGTTCTGTAATCAATGAGCCCCACTACCCAAAGCCACTCAGTCTTACCAGGATTCAGCTGAAACCTGTTGTTTCTCATCCAGACCCAAATGGCCCCAGAAACCGAGATATTAATGGCATCACTTAAATCTCCAGGGGTAGAGATATATGATTACCTCATCCCATGGCTGTGAATGAGCACCTTGGAGAAAATATTAAACCATGTGGCAACCCAGATAGTAGAGGCCAGGAGTGGGACCTCTCTTTCCCAACCAATACTAACTGGAATGACCCTGAAGGAAAAACAGAAACCAACACATTACTGTATTCACCCTGCCCCCGATCATTTAAGCTGGATTTATATTAGTTTTTTACGATATATAAAAAGAATTTTTAAATAATTGCCTATTAAGGCAAAGTACTGATGTTGAAAGATGTTTGTCTTGTAGGATTCAGTTTATTCCTGAAAAAAAAAATTGTAATGTAGATGTCATAGGTTTTAGTCACAATTATCCTTTTGGCATCCCTGATAGAGCCTATAATAATAACTGAATGTTGATATACTTATACAGAAAAATGAACTGGAGCAAATAACAAGAAAGTTCACATTGGAATTGGCCAAGAAAGGTTTTATAGGTGAGTTCATTTTTGAAAAAAAAAGTCATTGTTTCACAAGCTGCCCAAATATTATAAGAGGTTAAGAGATCATTCTCCAATCTATTGTCCTCTTATTATAGCAATAGCACTTAGACTTATATACTGCTTTACAGTGCTTTACAGCCCTCTCTAAGCAGTCAGCATATTGTCCCCAACAATTTGGGTCCTCATTTTGCCCTCCTCAGGAGGATGGAAGACTGAGTTAACCTTGAGCCTGATGAGATTTGAACTGCCAAACTGCAGGCCACAGGCCGGCAGCATTATGTCTTATTATATTGAATGAGAGGACCCAGCATCATCTGACTGAGTTTTATATAGTTATAAAAATATGGGCTAGAATAATGCTTGCCATCTCTTTATGGATATATGGTAACTAGACTGGCTTGAATTGACATTAAAATCTGATAATTTTATTCTTTAATTAGCACTGTATCATATTATTTTGACAAGGATAGAAAAAGAATCAAATTTTGCAGAATTCTACTCCTTGTTAATATCTATTTTTCATTATTAAGGAAAATATGGTATTTTCCAGCATTATTGCCTAATTTAAAGAGTCTTAATGCCCCCAAGAGCAGCATGGTGGCCTAGAGGTGAAGACACTCGCCTCCCATTTGGAAGAAGGTTGAGAGTTCAGTCATAGCAGGGGCAGATGTTTCTCTATCAGGAAGGAAAGAGAAAATGTGTATGCATTCTGAATAGGCATCAGGAACAGCATTTGGCTAGTAAATACTCAGCTCTACTCAGTCGCCCTGACTCACCCTGAATAAAGGGATTACAGAGTCATAAAAAGAAAAAAAAACTTTATTGCTTAGTTTTCTTGATTATCTTACCTCCTCTCTTTAAACATTTTCAGAGAGTAACATGAAAATACAGCCATATCTTGTTTTTAATGGGGTCTATTTTTTCCAGTCATTCAACCTTTTTCTGCTTACAATTTTTCTTCTTCTTTCTATTCTGGTGCAGAGTGTACTTTCAATTGCACCTCTCTTTATTTTTGGTTCCATAATGATTATCACTGTGATGAGCATATTTGGAGTACTTTTTTTAAAATAAAGAAACAATTTTGCTACTATGGCATTTCTAGGTCTTAGGATTTGGGATCAAGATCTGTGCCTACTAGTTCTGTTTTATTGCAACACTGCACTGCCTAATAACTAAAAATATAAATGTCAGTTGGGGTATAACATTTACTGAACAAAGTTGAAATGTGACTGAATAACATTTTAGTTGGCTAAGGATGTATTTTAAGTATTCTATTTATCTCTAATTCTTCTCAGTTAACAAGTGTGCAATCTTATAGCCTTTTGCTTAGAAATATATTCATTTGAGTGGGTCTTCTAACATGCTCAGATTAGATTTATGCAGATAATACAATTTAGACTATTTTATACAAATTTTGTTAGTCCATTTCATATGTTCAATTCTCATTTTCCAACCTTTATTAAAAGTAATAAAACTGCCATCCATTATTTACTGAACTTAGTATTACAGTATTGAATAAACATACATAGGATTGCATAGAAAATGCATAAATTAAACATATGTTCAATTTTATACATTTGTTTGTACACACACATACACACGATTGATGAATTCTGGCAACATTTGTGATTTGTGCTAGAAGAGACCAGTCAAAAAAAATTGATTGCTGTACCTTTTTTTTAATATGAGCAGGTCCTGGAATTGATGTAGCTGCTCCTGATATAAACACAGGAGAAAGGGAGATGTCCTGGATTGCTGATACATATGCCTGTACACTTGGACACAAGGTAAATTAATTCTTTGTGCAAAAAGCTTGTGGTCTAAATAACCTTGCAGCTTGCTTACTTCTCTGAAGATTTGGTTTAAAGGGAAGCTGTAGGTTTGGCTGTATTACATTATTTCAAGTTTATTCTCTTTTTAAATGGTAACTACACATATTTGAGGAAATGACACAGTTCTCAGCCTTCTGGTCTTGGGAAAATAAATATTTAGTTGGCATAGTTATATACTGTTTCATATTGATGTTTGCAGGATATCAACTCATATGCCTGTGTGACTGGGAAGCCCATAAGTCAGGGAGGAATCCATGGGCGCATATCAGCCACAGGCCGTGGAATTCTATATGGAATTGAAAACTATATCAACAATTCAACATATATGGATCTTATTGGCCTTAAAACTGGTTTCCCTGGTAAAACATTTGTTTTGCAGGTAAATATAGTATTTAGGTTCAGTGGCATAGATATAATCTCATTCTTACAGGTTACTGTTTGCAAGTCCATCCTTCCAAATTGGGGCTGATACTGCATTTCAAAAGTAATAACATAGGCTAATTGGACTCAAATTGAGCTGGGATATTTGACTGTATTTATTAAACAGTCTTGTAAAAAATGGAGTTTGATTTTTTTTCAGATTCTAGATAATTTGTTTATATATAGCTACATATTATGTACAGTATCATATATATCACTTATTATGGTCACAAGCATTTTTTGATGAGATTCATTATATGTGCATACACATGCATGCATGACATGGTGCTATTATCCTAAATTTACCGGCTGAACATCTCTTCATTGAAAGTTGTGGGCCATTATTTATCATGCTTATCAGGTGCAAGTTGTTGGATAGAAGTTAGGGCTGAGAGAGAAAATGACTGTCACAAGGCCACCCAATTGGCTTCCATATCCAAGAGAGGAGTGGATTGATTGATTGATTGATTGATTGACTGACTGATTTATTTGCCTACCTATCATGTTTCCCTGAAAATAAGACAGGGTCTTATTTTCTTTTGATACCCCCGCCAAATAAGCACTTGGCCTTATTTTGAGGGAGGGCTTATTATTTTTGAAGTGCAGGAGGTGGTGAGCGTGGTCACCTCATGGCTGCTGCTGTGTTGCAATATTTTGGGGAGGTTTTATTATCTGGGGAGGTCTTATTTTCAGAGAAACAGGGTATATTTGAAAAGAAAACAGTGAGACTGAGAGTAATTGATCTGTTATGGAGGGAGGGAAGGCAGGAGGGAAGAAGGAAGGGAAGAGGGAAGGAAGGAAGGACAGACCTGGGATATTTGGAAGTGGAGAGTGTTGGAGGGACGTGCCAAAGGTTTGGGACATTAAAAAAGGAGAGGGAGAGAGGGAAGACACTGAGAATATCTAAGGTTAGGCAGACTTATTGAATCTAATCTGTACAAGTAGTAATCACACTTATTCAGTGATTAAATTTTATAAAGGCACTGAATAAGAGATACTTACAATAGGTTTTATAATTACAACTATCACAGCCTCCCTACAGTCATGTGATCACAATTTGGTAAGTTGGCAACTGGAATCTCCAATATTAATCATAAATTGTGGGATGCTGCCACATAATGATAGCAACTGTGACTGCCCAGACTGCCATCATAAACCAATCCCTTCATCATCTTAGCCACTGTTCTGTGAATTCTTTCTTCAACTTCTTTCTTGTAAAGTATTGTCTGGTTCAGTCTGACCTCTCAAGGATAAATTAGAAATACTCAATTATTTTCTGATCTCAGTATTTTATAACTTTATTGATGCATTCCAAGTTTGCATTGGCTCTTTTGGCAACTGCAGCACACTGTTGGCTCATACTAAATCTATGCTCTGCCTCACAATTATGACTATTGAGCCATGTACCATTTATCTTGTACTTTGAAAGAGGAAAGGTGGAAAAAGTGCCTCCAGAAGTTGTGAATGCCCCAACACTGGAAGTCTTTAAGAAGATATTGGATAGCCATCTGTCTGAAATGGTATAGGCTTTCCTGCCTAGGCAGGGGGTTGGACTAGAAGATCTCCAAGGTCCCTTCCAACTATGCTATTGTATTTATATTATAAATAGCAATTATAAGAATGTAAAGTGCTACTAGATTCCTGCTGTTTTGCACCTATGCATCTGGTTCTTTTTACCTAAGTGCACAACCCTTTATTTCTTGTGCTTGAATGACATTTTTGAAAAATAGAGGCCAGAGTTCAAGTTTAATATTAGCATTTTGAACCTTGAAGTTGTCATCTGAGATGTTAGCAGCTTTTTCTAGCTTTGCATCATCTGTAAATTTGCTGAACCTCTATTCTATCCCCTCATCTAGGTCATTTATGAAAATTTTCAAGAGCACTGGACAGATTATGGATAGTCAGATTAGTGAGATATGCTGCCCTGGCTGTTCTTTGGAAAGAGAGAGACGTAGTGCATGTCAGCTTTGGCCTTTTCTTTTTTCTCAGCCAGCAGTGCTGATGCCTTTAATATTTTGCCTATTTGTCATCTACTTTCCAGCAGAACAACGTCTACATAAAGTAGTCTCATTTTTTCTATATATGGACCACAACATCTGAAACACATTGCAGTTTGAGCATAGCCTATAAAAATACCTGTTCATGGAGCCATTCAGAATAGAAAGTATTCACACCTCTATTGAATTTCTGTTGAAGTAAATTGTTACCATCTGCTTTAAGCTGCTATAAGCTTCCATATGGCCATATAATTGTTTAGGACTTATTTCTGGCAATTTGCTCAACTCCTATCATAGTGCATCTCCGTCTTTAGATAGAGATAGATTAGTAAAATCATTCTGTAAGCTAACAAGATTTGGCTCTTAAAATGTAATCAACTAAAGATTTCACAGCACAATTCATCTAAGCTAGAAGCTCTACCATGGGACAGGTATTTTTTGTTCTTTTCAATCCACTGAAATGTAAAAAGACTTCAACAGAATGAAATCAAATTTGATATGATGGGAGAAATTAGCAAAAGAAAGATTAAATAGTCAAAATATGTATAGGAACTGCAAAAAATAAAAAAGGGGGAAAAAGGAAAAAATCTTCCAACATTTTTCAATGGGAAACAGTCAGACAGTGTTTGGAATCCCTCTGATGCCTCAATTTTAAATCCCTTTTTCTTTTCCAGTTCAGTTTTGTAACTCAGAGTGGAGCTTATGTAGACTACGTTACTCCATATAAATTGGTGCACATTTAGCTCACACTATGAAGGGAAAGCAGAAAAACATATTGCATAGGCAGCATGTGCGCACATATACTTCTGTTTAACCTGGGGGTAGGGTTGGTGTGCTTCGCCTCCCCCCTTCCCCAACTTTACTGCATTAAAAGAAAAACATGGACATCTCAAAAGGTAATTACTAATAAAGATGTTAAAGGACTTCCAAAAACCGTGATTTGCATTCTTTTTTTACCTTTCTTATAGTACAATTATATAACATCATATTTATAAACTTGCTGAATTTGTTGGTAACTTCAATATATTAACTCCAATCTTTTTGTTATAGATCATCAAATTAGGCAATTTTTAAACTATAGTGCTAATCTAGAAATGTATGACCAAATCAAAAGTTTAACTCTAAATGGTATCCAGAATTGCTCACTATGAAAGGGGGGGGGGGACCAGCAGTGATATTTATCATCACGTACAGTTCTCAGCTAAAGTATCAGAGAGTAGAATTCATCCTGAAAAGATAATTTTCTTTTCTACTGTACTGCTTGTAGGTATCTCACTTCTAATATGATGCAGCTACTGACCAGCAACTAGGGATCTCATAAAGAGATCATAAACCCTAAACAAAGCCTATGTGATATTCTATCAGGGTACTTACATTGTACAGAATAAGAAAAATTCTTCTCATGTATACTTTTACATTACTTTAGTTATACTTTTTTATCATTGATGGCTAGAGAGCAATCACAGCCTGCACTGATTGGATTAATTAGTTTGGATTTAGGATGTGTTAGCATTATGAACAGTGCCATCATATGTCTATTGCTGCCTTTTATATTACTTGAATTTTGGGCCTCACTTGTTTAAGAAAAGGAAGATTCTGAGTATTCAGAATATCTGTTTGATTTGGTGATTATGCTATGTCCCTGACAAAAAAAGGCCATGATCTATGAAAATATATGGTATAATAAGATACCCACCTATAACCCTCCTACCTGTTCTCCAAAGAGCTTAAATGTTTCCTTGCCCTCAATTCTGCTTCATGCTCAGTGTGGTCTTATGAAGTAGGTTAGGCAGGCTGAAAGGGGAGTAGCTGATCAAAATATGAAATTCCATAAGTTTCATAACATCTTTTGCTTTTAACTTGAATTTTTCTCAATAGTAGTCCAGCTTTTTAATCAAGGCACTGTGACTCTGAGGTAATAAATAATTGTCAATTTATATTAGAGCAGAATATCCTCAAAATGTTTAATGGAAGCAATGTTTTACTTGGGTTGTACCTTTTTTGAGTATCAGCTCGCTCTCAGAATGGCTCTCTTGTTAATATATTTCTTCTAAAGTTTGCCAACCTTTCTTACGAAAGAAAAGAAAAATGTCTTTCTCCCAAAGCAATTTTTGCCTTAGGTTGGAAAACTTGGCAAGCAGGGCAAAGCTGAGGTTCTATAAGTAACTATCTCTAAGTCACCTTTATTGTAAGTTTGCTGAACAATACCTCAATAAATACTTCACTTACTATAATTAACTTATCAAGAAAATTAAACTTGGAAGGAAGGGCCACAAATGGGGAGTCTTTGTGGATTGTTATTTTCTTTTTGTCAAAGAAATCAAGGAGGGGCACAGATAAGTTAGTATACAAGCAGTTGCTAAAAGTGGAAGAGCTGAGTTACTGTGAGTTCTTTCCCAAAGGTGGTTTTTCAAGAGGCAACTGGACTTTCTGGTTTTTCTTTTAAGATGTTTCACTTCTCATCCAAGAAGCTTCTTCAACTCTGACTGAAGAAGCTTCTTGGATGAGAAGCAAAATGTCTTCAAAGGAAAACCAGAAAGACCAGTTGCCTCTTGAAAAACCAGCTTTGGGACAATCATGACCTGGGTGACTGAGAATCTCCATAAACATGTGAGTTCTTTCCCACCTGAATTTACTTTTTCCATTCTTGATGGTTAAATCTAAACTGGAATTCATCATATAATATGATTTAGTTGTTGATATATTGTTGGAAAGTTCTATAGTGAGTGTCATCCTTGTATTTTGCTGTTTTCTATTGGATTTTTTAAAAGTTCATTGAACAATGAATGTTTTAATGAGTGCAAAGTGCATTAAGCATTTAAATGTTACAACTAATTTAAGCATACATACTTCCTCTACAGATAAAATAGGGGAAAAGGCAACAGGGCCTGGTTTTGTGACAACAACAAAAAACATTTTTAGATTTAGATTTTTTTAAATAATCATTTCAGCACTAGGAATTAAAGACTTTCTTTAACTAGTAGAAGCCTCCCACACAAGTTCTACATGCTGCAGTAGTGTAAAGAAACAACAGTTTATGTATTTTATTTATTAGTTACAGGTTTACAGGTAGTTTACAGGTAGTCCTTGACTTACAACAGTTCGCTTAATGACCATTCAACAAGACAATGGCACTGAAATGGCACAAGTTACAACAGCACTGAAACAAGTGATTTATGACCTTTTTCACACTTATGACCATTGTGTCATCCCAAGATCATGTGATCAAAATTCAGACGCTTTGCAATTGATTCATATTTATGACAGTTGTAGCATCCTAGAGTCAGGTGATTCCCTTTTGTGACCATCTTACAAGCAAAGTCATTGGGGAAGCCAGATTCACTTAACAATTGTGTTACTAAGTCAGCAACTGCAATGATTCACAAGAACTGTGGCAAGAAAAGTCGTAAAATGGGGCAAAACTCACTTAAAAATTGTTTCACTAAGTAACAGAAATGTGGGATTCAATTGTAGTCATAAGTCAAGGACCACATGTATTTAATAGATTTTTATCCTACCTTTGTGGTTTGCTATTCCAGGTTCCCTGAAGAGTGAAGAAACTTTGCTTATGCCTGTCAGCTTTGCTTTTATTTCTCAGAGTTTTTCTCCACTACTGAATTAAAATACCATCTATCTTTGAGTCAGCACAGAATAATGCAGTAAAAAATTAACTGAATCCTATTTCCAATTCCTGTCCTTTTATTATGTCGGCTGAAAAGTTTTTCTTGATTTCTGAGCATGCTACTAGTTTATAGACAGCATTATTGGTTTCCCCTCTGGCTATCACAAGTAAGCAGGAAAAACATCCACTAATTAGGGCACTACAGAAGATGAATCTCATTTTAAAAACCTATCTTTTCAGAAGTGGTTTTCTGTTCTTCCCATTTACTTGGCATCTCTCAAACTAGATTAATATGAAAGAGAGAAACTTAAAGGGGAAAAAAATAAAAAAGAGAAGACAGCCTCTGCCATGATGGCACAATTAACTAGGTTTGGTAGTTGCTGAATTCTGGAGAAGTTGGGGAAAATGGCAAATAAGCACTTTCTCTCGCTTTAGGGTCAATTGAGAAAAAGCAGGATTGCTGCACCTTAAGATAAGATGTATTCTAAAAATAGTGAAAAATGCCTCTTACTCTTCCCTATGTGAAATTGTGGGGAGCTTTACTTTCATTTAACCTGGAAAGAAATTCGGATGGAAAATGGAAGGGCTTGAGGAAGTAACAGAGGTGAAAGGAAAAATGTCAGATGGAGAAATGTCTATAGAGGTTCTCAGACATCCAGGTCATGGTTGTCTCAAATTTCTCTCCTAATGGAGAGAAATAATGGAAAAGGAGATTGGTTAGTGACAGAGAGGAAATACTTCCAAAGCATACCTCTAATTACATGTATAACTTGACTGGTGCCAAAACAATGAATGACATAGTATTACAGATTTTGTTTATCTTGTGGTATATGCTGTTGGAAAATGGAGAAAATACTTTTGTGCCAATACAGATGTGGTCAAAAACCAGGAACGAGATAAAGCCAATATAATGGGGATGGAGGACTGTGATTCATGTTGACAGGGCATGATTGGGTTGAAGTTAATTAAGGCCCTACAGTAGATAATTTCTTTTCTGTAAATTGACAGGGAGAAATGATGCCACATGGAACAGTTCATTGGGCTTTTTTGTTTGTTAACCATCGAACTTGTAATGCCCACTGTCAATAAAACAAAGAACATTTTTAGGAAAGCTAAATAGAATAATAAAAACATATTGCAAAATAAAATGAAAAAAAAGCATATTTTAAAACCTGTCATGATTGTTGAAGATGTAGTTATTCTTCAACTTGACTAATTCTGCCTGGATAAATATCTAATGCATTTCCTTTGATAGGGCAATCAATTCTTAAATGCCTGACAAGCAGTTTTTTCCCCTGAAATCCTGCCCAGAAAACTGCAGGGCTTTGTCTAGGGCAGTGGTTCTCAACCTTTTTTGGCCATGCTCCACCTAAGCATTTCTAAAATCCTGACACTCCCCCCCAACATATAATTCTTACTTTACTCAAAAAGTGAACTGTACTCATCCAGAGGAAGCCTAAAAGAACATTAACTTGGTTTAAACAAGGTTCAAATTGCCCCCATTAAAAATCAAATTGCCCCCCTGTGGGGCATGGGCCCCAGTTGGGCAGCCATCAAGAGTCAGTGCTGCCTTAATGCCTAGTAGTTACTGCAACTGACACTTATCTTCCAGAGTTATCTGTTTACCTGGTGTCTTTTTTACAACTCCCAACACTGTTGTGTCAGATCCCACTGTCTTTATGGGGAAGTAAAAGAACAAGAAGTTGAGTAACAATGAAATAAGTTCAGTAGAGTCACCTCCAGAACTTGTAACATTAAATGTATGACTAGAGAAATGTGCCCCTCTTCTTTTGGAGATAGGTCAGTGTTTCAAGAGGTAAATAAATGATAATGTAAAAGAGGAAAGCTAAACATTTATTGTTAATTTTAAGTATTTATTTGGAAAACATTTAGTGATGAGTGAACTTAAAACTGAAAATATGAAATTACAGAGAAAAGTTAGAAGTATCTCCCATAGTAAAATACTGTAATGGAGTTAACAGACAACAAAAGCAAAAATCATAAAGAGACCTAAAAAGAAATTAAATTAAGTACAATAAGAAAAAGCTACCGTAATAATTTATCTAGAGAATATATCACCTTTGGAACAGATGTTACCTTTATTTCAACTTAAGCCTCAGCTGAGGAGACAAGAGTAAATCCCACTGACTTCCAGTCTATGAGAGAATGGGAGAAGAGGGCATTCTATCTATGAAGATATAGATTGGAGATGTTTACAAATGTTGGAGAGGATACCAGAATATATTGGGAATGTCTGAGTTCTGCTAGCTGTCAAGGGAACATTCACAACAGAAGCAGATCTTCCTTCTTAGTCAAGATAGTGAATGGTTGTTTTTTGCTGACTGAAAATTTGCTCTGTTTTCCCAATTTTGCTTTCACAGGGATTTGGCAATGTGGGTTTTCATTCAATGCGATACCTGCAGCGAAATGGAGCATGCTGTATATGCGTTGAAGAAGTAGATGGTGCCATCTGTAACACCGATGGAATTGATTCCAATGAACTACAACACTACAAACAAGTATGCTGAATACAAGTACCGTAGTCCTCAACTTAAAACAGTCATTTAGTGACTGTTCAAAGTTAAAATTGCATTGAAAAAAGTGACTTATGACCATTTTCCCCACTTACAACCAATGAAGCCTCCCTAAGGTTACATGATCAAAATTTGATGCTTGGCAACTGGTTCACATTTATNAACCATGGCAACATCTAATGTTTGTGTAGTATTATTTTCAGCAGACTGTGTTTTTCTATTGTTGTGACTTAGATGAAGTTCAGAGCACATTTTATGACCAATTCATGAAAAACTCCACATAATCCCAAGAGGTTCACATACTTTTTCTTGCAACTGTAGATCGGCTCCTTACAAGGTACACATTGACTTGGAAAGGTAGAAGGAAAAAACTCAGGATTTCAATGGTTTAGAGTCCTGGATTATGTAAAGATACTAGCTCTACATTGCTTATGTTTATATGTTATTTTCCAGCAAATCATGACTGTAGCCACAAAGTATAATCTAGGCTTGGACCAGAGAACAGCTGCCTATATTTGTGCCATTGAAAAGATATTTAAGACTTACATTGAAGCAAGTTACATTTAATGAAACTACCCACTTGCTGGCCTTCAACCTGCTGGTTAAAAAACACAAACAACAAAAAGTATGTTTTACTTTAGAAGATAAGGAACTTCTAAGCATGAAATCTGGATCAAGATTTTGCTGTTATGTTATAGAACATTTTTCTCTTGTTTTTATCCTATTCCTTCCTTTCATTTTCACAGACTTTCTGAGATATAATTATTTTTTTTCCTGAGTTTCAGCTTCAATCTATAGGTAGATGCTTTGTTGTTGTGCAACTCTGTTACTCCTATTTCATTTGTCGCTAATTCTTTCCTCTATTTTGGTCTTTGCGATACTACTTTTCTATTTGTTTTGTGACCTCCTCTGCAGATGAAATTTATTACGAATTAATGTTTTTTTTTTAAGTTGTCAACTTGGATTCTGAATCTGGCAAAGTTTATTCCTTGCAATAAACCTTCTTATTTATTTTTATTTTCAATATCATACATATAATCAGTATTTACATCCTTGATGTTCTGTGCTGCATAAACAAACACATGCTGATTATGTCACCAGATCATGCCCCTAAGCAGAAGTGACATGCACAACCCGCACCCTCCGGATAGGACTTGCATAGCCCTCCTCCCTGGCTGGGATGTGCATAATTGACCCCCGTGGTGTAGGATTCACACGGTCATAACCCTAACCGGATATGTTGTATTGGCTTAAGCCCATCATGATAAGCATGAGTAGCCCTAACAGATAAGGTGTGCAAGGTTCTAGCCCTGTTTTTTCAGATAAGACGTGTTGAACCTAACCCCATCAAGAAAAATGCCAAGCCTCTGGGTACATGATTACCTTAACCCTAGACTACTACTATGGACGTTCAAGAGGGAGGGGGGGTTGTGAAATAAAAAAAAATGTTTTTTTATTTCTAATCATTCTCCTAGGGCCTGCATTTTACCCCAGTTTTTCCCCTAAAAGTTATTTATTTCTAGGCAATGATGGTTTTAATTTTTGTGGAGACAGGGACTGCATTTAACCCACCTTTTTTTTCTAAAAGGAATTTATTTCTAGGTGGATTTAAAAACATTTCCTCGAAGACTGGGGGGGGGGGTACAGCTCTTTTAAACCCTGCAGCTGGTTTTTATCTTTGTAAAATCTAAAGACACATATTTTGCCAATTGCACCCTCAAATACTCATGTAACCGTTTGAAGACCACCTATAGGAAAAGACAAGGAATATTAACAGGAATTAAAATGTTCACAAGAGGCATGCATGCAGGGGTTAAGCCTTGTTCAGGCATGTCTGGGAAATGCCCAGGCATGTCATCCCCACCCATCCCCACCCCCTGTGATTCTGCACATGCGCAAGAGGCATGCCAGGGAAATGCCTGGGCATGTCATACCCCCCGTGATTCTGGGCATGCGCAAGGCATAAGGACTTGTCATTACAAGAGCTGGGAACTTTGTGCAGGTAGCCCCCTTAATTCCAGCAGTCTCTTGGAGATGGAAACCTCTGATTCCAAAGATGTTTTTAAAGCAACAGCAAAAGCCAGCATCACATGCTCTGACACAAGATCCCAGCAGCCAGAATGCAACAAACCCTGTTGCAAGGATTATGATAAAGAATTTTTTTATTCAGACCCGTTTTGCATGATTGCAGCATGGTGTGTTGTAATTTTAATGATGAGGTGCAGAGTATTTACCGGACAGTATGTGAAACAGCGAATTATGCTTCCTTACCTCCCAGCAATGGTAAGTAAATATTTTTAATTTATGATATTGTAAATGACACTGGAGTGGATATCTCACCAACAAGATGTGCTTTACATTTTGCAGACTCCAAAATAATAACACCTAGTCAGCAAACACTTCAAGACACTCCGATTTTATATTCCAGTGCTAATTGCTGTGGTCACAAAGCTTCTGCAGATTTTTCTGATCTAGACTATAACTGGGATTCTGAGCTATCCCAGAGACTACACTATCCATCCAGTGAGCTAAAGAGCTGCAATTTGTGTAAAGACTGGTTTGCATGCGGCTCTGGCCATGATATGTGGAATACAGACGAGTCAAGGAATTGTAAAATAGCACGTTATGCCCCTCTATATTCTGCTCCTGATAGTAGTGATGAGGGATATTTTTCTGATGGATGTGCCATGCCCCTCTGAACTCTGTATAACCAATAAAAGATTGTGTTAATGTCAACGCTTGACCCATTTGTCAGCATTCTTTCAGTATAATGATGCATGAAAAACTTCTAAACCATGTTTATTATACACCAGGATATTTAGGGAGTTATGGAGGAGTAAATACCCCTTTTCAGGAAGCTAGAAAACATGATAAAAAGCTGACCATGAAGCAAGTCAAGACGTGGCTGTCAGGGCAAGATGCTTATACGCTTCATAAGCCTGCAAGAATTAATTTTCCTAGAAATAAAACAGTAGTGTCTGGCTTAGATCATCAATGGCAGGCCGACCTCATAGATGTCTCCAAAATTTCTAAAGAAAACCATGGAAAAAAAATACATCTTAGCAGTTATTGATGTGTTATCTAAATATGCCTGGGCCTCCCCTTTATCTGATAAATCAGGGAGGGAAGTTACATCCACTGTTTTATTTCTAGGAAAATTAATTCTTGCAGGCTTATGAAG